TTTCAGCTCTGTAACAATGAGAAGGTGTTTCTGATGGACCCCACCAAATCTGAAATGTCTCTGGCAGAAATGGATTACAAAGGGGCTTTTTCAAAGGGTAGGATTTATTTTCTTTTTTTTTCCATTTCTGCTTGTACCTAATGATTCTGTTTTCACAACTTCCATTGCTCTGAAAGAAAAGGGTAAAACCCAGATTTGGCTTTGTCTCTTCTACAGCAACAAATGGCATTTTGAGCACGTTACAGCCCTGTAACAGCACGACAAGACAAGAATGTGCTCTGGCACGGTATTTTGTCATCTGCACGCACAAATCAAAACCCAGACCCATGTGTAGTTTGGTGCATTTGGCTCTAACAGTGGTTCTTTTGTTGAATTGGAGAATTTAACTGGACCGTTTTTCTCCCAACCTCCTCAGGGCAAATCCTGTACGGCCGCGTGCTCTGGAACCCCGAACAAAACCTAAATGCCGCTTACAAACTGCAGTTGGAAAAAGTCTATCTGTGTACAGGCAAGGATGGCTACGTGCCTTTCTTTGACCCAACGGGCACTGTCTATAACGAGGGGCCCCAGTATGGCTGTATTCAACCCAACAAGCACCTGAAACACCGATTTCTGCTCTTGGTAAGTTTTCTGTTGTGGACAAGACCGTCATGGCCAGGATTGTGTGTGATCATGTCCAGAGAAGTCTGGTCTCTCAGCCTCTTGCTGACCTAACAGACCTGGGAACTAAATGGCCTTCCTACTTGCGGGGAGGCACTGCACGTACTGATATTTAGCTCGTATTAGCTATTTCGGTCTGCAAGTTCTCTCTAGTCTGACTGTCCCAGATGACATAGCACTGCTGTTTTTCTGTTTGACTTCCCCAGGCACCTCCAAACCCTGCAACATCCTGCAGAGTTTCCAGCCAGACCCTGCCACCCTCCCAGCCACCTGCACCTTTGTGCAGCCACAGAAAACCAGAGCCAGAATAAAGCATGATGCCTGTGCTAAACGCTTCCCTCATCCGTGAGGGGTCTGAAGTACTGGCTTGCAAAAATGTCCTCTGCTTCTGCTGTTTGTTTTTTTTCCCCTGACTACCAACAGATTCTGACTACAGAGGGATGAGAAGTGAAATGTGGTGGATCTTTGCAGTACAGGGCAGACAGGTGCAAACCATGAAGCCAAGATCTCTTTTTCCTCCACCTTTATCCATGAATATTTCTTAGTCTAAAAAAAAAAAAAAAAAACCAAACCACAAATTAGTAAGAAGAAGAAGTGATGTACCAAACTTAAAAATTTCCCTTGATCTCTGCTTATACTATGGCTTGGAATCGTCAGAACTGGCATCATATAAAGGGAGATTTATTTACCAGTTACGCAGAAATTCTTCTTGTATAAATCTACGACTAGCTCCCAAGATTTATTCAGCTCTTCTTACATGCTTTGTAGTTAACATTTGCCAGCGTCCTCGCTCGCAGCCCTGTTACCACTCACAGGACAAGGGGAATGTTAATGGCATTAGTTAGTTCAGCATGCATATTTGAGCAGGCTGGTTAAACTCCTCTCCTGATCTTCAGCTCTACAAACCTAATACTGACACAATCAGTGCTAAACCAGTATGAAGCATCTACAAATCATATAGGTCATAAACATTTTCTGTGCGGTAAGCTATGCATTTAAAGAAATGTCCATGCCCACAGGTAGGTGCAGAGACTGGGCATTTGGATTCAATTTCTGCAGCAGTACGCAGGTGTTATTTAGTGACCTGGCTTCTGGCTTCCCTCTGGAAAGATGACAGCATGCACTTCTCTTCATAACACCTCTCTCATTTCCAGGACCGAAATCAACCAGAAGTGACGGATAAGTATTTCCACGATGTGCCTTTCGATGCCCACTTTGCTTCCGAACTGTCTGAGTTTCATTCGGTAAGCAGCATGCCTGGAGTCGACGGATTTACTCTCAAGGTGGATGCTCTCTACAAGGTACATACCAAGTGATATCGGTAGCCCAAAACTCACTTCTCTGTCCAGGGTGTCCAAATACTTTGTAAGTCGTAGGCTCTGGCCCTGACACTGCCTAGAGAAACGAAATTCATGCGAGGGTAGGTCTTGCAGCCTTCTGCAGTTTAATGGCAACCCTCAACCAACTTTTCTGATGGTGTGGTGGGACACGCTGCCTCCACACCCACCCACAACATGGCCTGCGTGAAGCGAGGTGGCCTCCCGTACGCGTGATCATCCGCATTTGCAGATCGTACTGTAGCAGGCCTCTCCTTGATTTGCCTGGGTATAAAGGCGAGGTGGGAGATGAGAGTCTCTGTTCGGCGGTGGAGCACGCACACGGTGCTGTTGCTTCCTCTGAAGGTAGACGCAGCTCAGAGCTCTCCGTGACCCTTCCCAATTACAGGGGCAGGTAAACTCTGGTCGCGGTTCCTCTCTGTCCGCAGAGGCTGGTGAGTACAAGACTCGGAGGAGCTGAGCAGATTGTGGCAGAAACAGGAGGGGGACAGAGGAAGCTCTTGATTGAGGGCAGAATTTTATATCCTGATTTCTGGGTTTTTTTGTCCCTCCCCACAGAAGTCCTCTTAGTGACCTCTGTTTGCTTAAGGGGCTTCTTGGATTTGCTAGGATTATACCATAAATTAATGGTCGAGCCAGTTAAGAAGCAAACTCCAGCACAGAAAATGGAGGAATTTATTCTGGTGATTAAGACTTTTTTTTCCAAAACACTCAGGAAAGAAGCTCTTTAAATACATATTATTAATGTTCCTAAATTAATTATTGTAGTTGCCAAAGGATAGACAACAAGACCGAACACCTCACATGGTGGTAAATACTATTGCAGGTGCTCATAAAAACACGCCGAGCTTTTTTTTGTTGATATTTGCAGGAGTCACAAAATGGGACAAAAAAATGCAACCAGCTCTACCTTTACATAACAAAATCACTTGATCTAAAAGCTGTAGTTAAAATTTCTTGTGTGCGTGTCTTCCCTTTCTGACAGGTGGAAGCTGGACACCAGTGGTACCTTCAAGTCATCTACGTAATTGGCCCGGAGAGCATGGCGGGGCCTCGCGTTCAGCGATCCCTCACTCGCCGCTGGAAACGTGGCCGCAGGGACTTGGTCGATAGCGACGGCAGGCTGATCCTGGACGACTCCTTGATCTACGACAACGAAGGCGACCAGATCAAGAACGGCACCAACATGAAGTCGCTGATCTTGGAGAGGGAGGAAGCTGCCGTCGCAGCCTCCTTATCTCAAACGGGCGCTTCCCTGGGGAGCGCCTTCGCTGCCATCACCCTGCTGCTGCTGGTGCTTTTGGGAGTTTGCCTCCTCACCAGGAAATGTCGGAAGCTGAGGAGGAAGCGGGAGGCTGCCAGAGCCGCCCCGGAGGAGCATCCCCTGAACACCAAGGTGGAGCTGCCCAGGGGCACCGAGAAGTCCCTGGACGGCCGGTACTGCACCGTGAGGAACATTAATATATTGAGGGAAACCGGGGGCATCTCCGAGGGGAAAGGCAGGAAGGTGAAGCAGGTGAACTTGGAAGTCAAAGTCCACAGCAATTTGCACGACGGAACGGAAGTTTAATGCAGCATGCCCTTTGGTTTGGTAAAAGCTTTTTATAAATTGTAAAAAAAAGAAATAATCTGAAAAAAAAGAAAAGCTAAGAAAAGTTATGCTGGTATTTTTATACTCTTGTGAGGAGGAGGAGGAGTGGCTCTAGCTCACCTCTGCTCCCGGCTGAGCTGCCCCATTGCACAGCACCGCTGGAGCCGGGCCGGGCAGAGTTCTCCATCCGCGCCCCCACCACGCTCCTCCAGCTCTGGCTCTGCCGCTTCCCCCAGGGTGGCCCAAGGAGACCAGCACCTTCGTGGTGGGGCATCGTGGCGACATTGTACGTCCCCCACCCGGCATGGAGGGGGTGGCTCTGCGTCCGCTGGGACCCCCTGCTCCTGGCCCCGGGGTCGCTTCCCCGCCTCACTGGGGAACAAAGCAAGAAGGGCAACAACTCCGTGTTTAATACCCAAGGCAAGCGGCCTTGGTTTGCTTCTTAAAACGAGGCAAAACGCTACAGAAAAACAAACGGCAAACCCGGTGCTCGGTCTTCAGGGGTTGGGAGGTTCATTTTGGGGTGGTGCTGGCCGTGGGGAGGGGGTGGCAGGGACATGAATTGTCACACAGGGTGTTAACTGTACTGTCTCAGCGCACGCCAGAGAATAAAGTTTGACTATAAACCTGACAAAAAGCATGACCGGGGTGTCCTTTCCCTGCGCCTCCCCCTTTCAGCCCCCGTTACGCGTTCCCAGGTGGGGTGGGACCCCCGGCACCAAACACGGCCGAGGAGTGGCAAGCTCGGCACTGCTTGTCTTTCAGCGCTGAAAAGAGCCTTTTGTGAGAGTGTAAATCATTCCCACTCCTTCAATACAAATGTTAAAAGTTCATGCTGAATATATTGCGAATATTTAGCTTATCAATACTGAAGGTGGTGTATAAATACTGAAAAAAGGGTGGAAACTGAGGCTGTTGAACCTCGGTGCGGGTCCAGCATGAGCTGATGACACTTTCTGCTCCTTTGTGACGGGCTGTAAGGCATCTGCTGAATATTAACATCATATTTTAATACTGAATAATTATTAACTAATTAGTTAATAACTCTTCTGGGCATTGTACAGACATTGAATACAGCAGGACTCCAAGATGCCACTGAGGGTCCGAAAAGCACCTTTTTGCCCAGAGACTATCTCAGACGTTCAATTCGGCCTGGTGCATGCCGGCCTCCCAAGCTTCGGGGACCAACG